GACGACGTTTAGAATTCTTGATTTTAAAGTCTTATATTAATATCTTCACTTTGGAGACTGCAAACCTTTTGGGCTCAACTTTATGATTAAACTCTACCTGGCCCCCACGTTTAAGAAGTTTATTGACATAGCGCAATTAGCAAATGGACTATATAGAGATGTTAAGATCCTGCAAAGACAGTTAATTATTCAGCAAAACGACAACTTCAAAGCCTAATAGAAGCCATTATGGATCATGTAAATTCAAGATGCAAATGATATTGATACAGGTCCTTTACTCAAAAAGATAAACGTTTTCTTTCCAAGATCCTGCGGCCTTTGCCATATAAGGGGAAAATGAAACTGTCTGACCATTTAAGACTATTGCTTCAGAGAATGGGATGCAACTTTCAAGTTCTTAATGACAGAATGGCAGGCTCTAAAGGTTATATAGTAAATGGCATGGGATGACAAGTCTACGACGAAGAGAAATATGCCAGATTGTTTCGCAATGATAATCAGGCTCCGATTACATAATATTAAATATATTACTAGTTGAGATCATCTTTGTCATACCAGTTTCCACTGCAGTCTGTGAACGTGGCTTTTCAGCCATATAACGCATCAAATCAGACTGGAGATTTCAGTTAACACCAGAAATGACAAATTAACTATCTGCATTGCACTTTAGGGGACAGATTATGATACATTTCAGGCAGGCATGGTGGTGGGGTTCGCAGACGAGAAGGCGGGCAGAATTTGATGAAGCTAATGTTATTTCAGATAGTAAAGTAGAACAGACTAAATTCAAAATATTTTCGGAAACATTAATTGTTTGAATATTCCAGATTGTAGTTAACTTACAGTTAAATTGTTTTATTTCAGGGCTAGTCATTTTTTCTCCCACTAGTCCGACCAGACTTTTTCATATTAAATTTTGGGAAAGAAAACAATTTTGATTAAAACCACACTTTGTTTTGTATATGTAATGCCTGTTTGATGAACACAACTTGAACGCAAATATAATCATTTGTTTAATAACATGACACAACTGTGAGTTGTATATCTTACATTGCATCATTGTTGTGCTATTGGTGTGAAAATATAATTGATCACACTACAAACATAAAGATTAAATGACTTTGTTATTTACTCGGGTTGTCATACCAACGTTTTATTCTTATATTTTATATAGATACTTTTATTAATACAATTTTCATTGTTTAACAGTTCGGTTACTTGCCACACATCTTACATTGCATCATTGTTGTCCCTTGATGGCATAGTATCACGTGACGAGCTACAGTTATCAAAAAATGTGTAACTGGTTCATTGAAGGGAGTGATAGTAAGAATGTAAATAATTACTAATAGTTCTATCTGGAGAGTAATCATAAACTCCATTTATTTACCAGATACCCGATAGTTTTGATTTCGTGTTCACAAATTGTAGACTTAAAAATACGGGTGTTATAAGCTAACAGGCTAGAAGTTTCAAAAGGTCCAAATCCATGGGATATGGTTTCGTTGCCACACTTGGAGCTGTTCACAGTTCTAATCTTTTGATTGTATTAAATTTAGCCTATTTGATTTCGATCCTATTACCACACATTATGTGGTCGTTTACAGTAATCGCCCAGGATGTTCGTCGGTCCGTCCATACACATTTGGCTGGTGCTCACTCTACAGGCTACAATTCTTTATGGATTCTTTTGATTTTTATTTTGTGGGTCAATGTTATTCTGAAAATGATCCCTTTCGATTTTCGTGATGATCTGATAATTTTTCACCAAAATATCGTGTTAATGATTTGTATTTGCAATCGAAGCTGCTAATGGACCTATACCATTTCTCACCATGTGTATTTGCTAAATACTTTTGACACTCGCG